GGGGGGGGGGGGGGGGGGGGAACCCACACATGGTTGTCAGAAGTGTTGTGAGTAAAAACAGCTTGGAATAGGGAAATCTCCAGCTGTGCTGGTTTGGAAGAAGCTAATAGTATAACAAAATGTCCAGAGACATCCACTAACAATATGAGGGAAAACACCAGGAAAATATAAGAGAGGATTCACAGACTTCTGTGAAAAAGGTTTGAAACAATAACTCAAGGTATTTGTCAATGCAGATGTAAATGTAATCGCCTCAGTTGCCCTTGGCAAAGAAGCCAGTGAATACACCAATCAATTTACTGGTTTGCTCCACTAACAGAAATGAGTCCTTATCAAATGATCTCTCTTCTCTTCTCTTCTCTCTCTCTCTCTCTTTCTCATGTTCACATTATTAATTTGCCTATTTTACTGTCAACCTTAGAACACAGTAAAAATTACTTGAATCGAGAAAGTATTTTTAAAAGAACTATGGACATTCTAGACCAGGGCTCCTCAAATTTTAATATGCATACAAATCAGATCTTGTTAAAATGGGATTCTGATGCAATAGGCCTGGGATGGGGTTGAGATTCTGCATTTTTACCTGGTTCCCAGGTGACACTGACACTGCTGGCCTGTGAGCCACCCTGGAGTAGCAAGGTCCAACAACACTTAAACTTCAAATAAGGAAACACATTGTAACTGGTGTTTGAATACTCACTCTACCACCTAACTAGTCTGGGCAAGTCCTTTCACCTACGTAGACTACAGTTTCTTCTTCCCGAAAAACAGGATGATGGTATCATAACTACCCTATGAGATTTCCTTTTTGGATGACTAAATGAGACAACCCATGTAAAACACTTAAGGTGCCTAACGAATAGGATATAATACTTACATGTTAGCTGCTAGCTATTATTACTTATGCATTTGACATGACATCTATTTGGTTGATAATGACTTTAAAAAGTGGCTTAAATGTGTAAATCCTTCAACATTTGGGAGTAGGCACAGGCACGGTGAAAAAGAACACCACAAGCAAACAAGACAAAGGTGAAACCTACCTTCTACTTTGCAGTCAAAAGAATCCCCTGCTTCATCTCCAGGGGGTTTGGAGTTAGATTTTTGAAGATCCTCTTGAGCGCTCTCAACGCTATTATAAACCCATTGTATGGAATCTTGCTGGAAATGAGGGAGAAAAGAAACCTCAGAGGTATTATTAGTGCTTCTAAAATGCACGCGCATTTCATAAATCTGCTTCAGAGGGAGAGTTGACTATCTTATTTGTTCCTCTAGTTTATTTAAAAACAATAAAATTTGAGAGAGAAAATCAACATCAGAAACTAATAAAAAGTCGATAACAATTATATGGTTTAACTGACTCTTAAGCTTTATCCTTTTTAAGTTTTATCTTCCAAAGATATGTTTTATGTAAATTGTATCTTCCAAAGATATGTTTTATGTAAATTGTATCTTCCAAAGATATGTTTTATGTAAATTTTATCTTCCAAAGACATACGCTTTTATTTTATTTATTTATTTTTTTTGTCTTTTTTCGTGTCCAGCAACGGATCGCAACCCTCAGTGTCGTGCCCGCCCCGGACCGGGACCGGCAACGGGATCGCAACCCTCGGTGCTGCGCCCGCCCCTCGCTCAGCCAGTGAGCGGGAACCGGTCTGTATGTGGGATCCGAACCCTCGACGGGAGCGTTGCCGCGCTCCCATGCGGCGCACTGTAGCAGTGCGCTGCCGGGCCGGCCCCAAGATATACGCTTTTAAATAGGACAAATTTCCCCAATGTATTACTTCAATGCCTCAAGTATATCTTTAAGTAAATTACAAATTACATTTTAAAATAAATAAGTGTTAGATGGACAAGTTTTCTGGTGAATCAATTATCTATAATTGTACAAACCATTTAAACACTCTCCAAGTGGTCACATATGTTTTAATACATTCAATAATTTTTTGAATCAAACGAATATGAAAATTGGAAGAACATCTTTCGTCTCATGGGGTTCCCAAGTAATTTAAGTATCTTTTAATCCTTCCATGTCATAAATAATCCTATATTTTAATTGAAACAGCAGTTCTGGTCTTACTTAGAGAAAAGAGGCAGGTAAAACTACTACCAAACAGACGTGTCAAGGGGTGCATCACTTTAAGTCTTATACTTTTCCTAGATAAAATGATATATTGAATTGAACTGGATATTGAAGTGTGATATAATACGTATTATCTATTTATCTCTTCTAGTAGCTTCACAATTGTGTTAATTATTATATTGCTATACGTCATTAAGTGCTAGTTAATATTTGATCATTCAGACACATCTTGGTAACCCATTGTACCTGCCAATGAACCACACCCCTGCAGAATCCACACCTTCCTGTAGTTCCTTCTTAACAAACCCCGGGCTTGACAGGTGACTTGATTTGTCCAGAGGGAAACTAACAAGCACAATCTAAGTAAAGGGTTTATCCCTCATAATATTCCCTTTTGAAACCTGGACATCATGCAGAAGGGAAAATCCTGCTAAAGACTGGAAAGAGTGGCCATTCAGATGGGCTCTGGAAGGTGACCCACCACAGGGCCACGAGGAGGAGAGCTGAGACATCCAGTCAGGTACCACACAGCCTTCCAGGGACCACCACCCAGTCCACCACAGAATCAGGAGAAATAATCACTACTGTTTAAAGCCACTGAGTTTTGGAGTGGTCTGTTTTGTAGCAACAGATACCTAAGAGAGCATATTATTCAGTAAATTTCTCTACTTACTGCTTTTTAAAATCATTTCACTGATCAACATCTCTCCAAGAAGGCAGGGAGGGAAAATAAAAAGGAATGGAGCGCAAACCTATCTGGCTGCTTATAAAAATTCTCATAGAAGGGAAAAGGTTTGATAATTGCAGAAGTCTTTTAAAAAATTCATTCAATAACACAGTTCAACAAATATTTATTAAGCTGCTGTCAACTAGAGTCTATGTATAAATTCTAATTTGCTATGCTAGTTTTGACCTTATTAGCAAGCAAAATTGATCAGCTATTTTCATGTAGGTTTTGTGTTTTACAGGACATCAGCCCTGGCCTATGAGAAAATAGCCATTAATCTTCTTGGTCTGGACACAGAGTCATAATCTCAAATCCAGAAAAGACTACGTCACTATTCATGACAGAAAAAAATACAAGGCCTCTCCTTTTAAAGCTCTTTCTGCATCTAGTTTATTAAACTGAGTGAATTTTCTCTTACAGTCCAATACTCACTTTTTCTTCATAAGATAATAAGCTTTGCTTATGAATTAGGATTCTAATTTTATTTTTCTGTGGCACTCGTGGGTCAAAAAATAATGCTTAAAATTTTTTAAAATGCCAAGCAAACTATGGTGTTTTCTTTTAAGAGCTAAATCCAGTTACCTAAATAAATACATCCAAAAATCTATCACAGACCCTACAAAACTCACAATTTTTACTTTTTTACAGAAGTCTTGAAATAAACAGTCTAAGTATTTATAATTCATATATACAGACACAGATACTCCATGAACATCATATATTCTAAAGCAATCATAAGTGTCAAGAAAACAGTTCAAACCTCTGAATTGCAATTTGATAAACTCATATCACAACGAAAATGAAAATACCCCAGAGCACTTTTTAAACAAACCCCAGAGCACTTTTTAAACAGGTGATAACACCGTAACAATAAAATGTAACCATTTAAAGACAATCCACTGTAATTAATTATGTAGATAAAATAATCATTATGGGATTTATAATGCTGTGTTCAAACTCCAACTTAGAACTGGAAACTACAAACATCTCTGGCACCACCCTATGCTGTCCCCTTGGTCTTCTATTCATTTATTCCACCAGATGCAGATAAGCTGAAGAGCAGTTTACCTTCGTAGGTCGCCTGTATTTCCTGCAGGCGGTAACGTGTGCAATGACACTGGCATGTGTCTCTTTGCTGACATTGATTCCATTTACTTTGATAATACACTGTCCAGGGTGAAGGCCAGCTGCTGCAGCCACAGTTCCTTTAAATATAAATAGGAAAAGTGCCAAAAATTAACTTCTGGAATAAGATTCATTTTTATCAGGTATACAACAATGGAAGCAATTTTAAAATACAGTGAAGGTAGAGTTGTTATGTTCTTGATGAATTTGATTCTGATAGCAATGCCCTCTCCACACTTTTCTCCTGTTTAACTTGCCTTTCAAACTGTGCTTAGCAGAATATTTCTTACCTCTCTAAGAACGCTGGAAGGGGAGCAATTTTAAAATACAGTGAAGGTAGAGTTGTTATGTTCTTGATGAATTTGATTCTGATAGTAATGCCCTCTCCACACTTTTCTCCTGTTTAACTTGCCTTTCAAACTGTGCTTAGCAGAATATTTCTTACCTCTCTAAGAACGCTGGAAGGGATATTGCAAAGTGACCTTTACAATGCTAATTATTTATTTTCCCTTTTTTTTTTTTTTTTTTCCCTTTTTTTTTTTTTTTTTCCCTTTT